ACATGGCCCGCCTCCATCTGGCCACGCCTCCCACCGACCCCAGCCCTCCACATGGCCCGCCTCCATCTGGCCACGCCTCCCACCAGCCCCAGCCCCGGCTGCAGTTCCCCTCCACGAACCCGGATCCTGCCAAGGACTCCGCCCAATGTCCAGCCCCGCTCCACCCCTCCCCGCCCCCAGCCCTTACCTGCATAGAATTCAGGCCCGTAGACTGCGCCTACCACGGGGTTTAACTTCCAGCCTAGGACAGAAGGAAAGGCCGGTCACTCGCTTCCCCATCCTTTCCCCACCTCCCTGTGCGCAAGGAGCCGGAGCCCCGGGGGACATTCCCAGGGCGTGGCCTCCACAGTGAGCTGCCAGAGCCCCTCCCTCCTCGGTCGGGGTGAGCGGTAGAGGGGGCACCCACCGAGTCCTTTCCTGATGCTGCCGTCACAGCTGGGCTCCTGCTGTTCCGAGAATAACGGGGGCGGGGGCACTCTGACCCATCCTTCTAGAGTGTTTTTTGGACGCTTTCCAAATTCCCCAACCTGCCCCCTGGGCCACCCCCGCCCCGGGCACCTGCCCCAGAAACCTGGGGCTGTAACTTCCGCAGAAGATAATCTTTGTCTTTAGGTGCCATCCAGTCGCTTCCGACTCTTAGCAACGCTAAGTACAACAGAAGGAAACACGGCTTCGTCCGCCTCATCCTCACAAGCGTTATGCTTGAGCCCATTGTTGCAGCCACTGGGTCAATCCATCTTGTTGAGGGTCTTCCTCTTTTTCACGGACCCTCTACTTTACCAAGCACGATGTCCTTCTCCAGGGTCTGGTCCCTCCTGATAACATGTCCAAAATATGTGAGACAAAGTTTCGACATCCTTTCTTCTGAGGAGCATTCTGGCTGCACTTCTTCCAAGATAAGACTTGTTCTTCTTCTGGCCGTCCACAGTATATTCAATATTCTTCGCCAACGCCACAATGCAAAGGCGTTAATTCTCCAGTCTTCCTGATTCATTGTCCAGAAGAGAATTAGGGGGAACACATTATATAACGTCTGTGGCCACAGGCGGAGCGAGCACTTCTGGCGTTGTTGGTGATTTTGGCAGGTTCATGCCTTAGTACACCCTGGGGGCCAATAGCGGGGAGTTCTGTCTCCTGGGGGGTGTTGGGACAGAGCTCCCACGAGGACCCCTTCCCCAGCTGTGCCCTGGTCTCTCTATCCTCTTGTCCCGTCTTCCCCCAAAGCTGCCTCCCCCTGGGAGCCGGGAGGTAGGGGAGGAGATGGGGGGGGGAGATTTTGGATCTGGGAATAATGATAACGATACCAACATTTACCCAACACCTACTATGCCCCATGTTAAAAAAAAAACAATACCCCCCAAAACCAGTTGCCATGGAGTTGACTCCAATTCATGGCAAACCCAAGTGTGTCAGAGTAGAACTGCGCTCCACAGGGTTTTCAATGGCTGATTTTTCCTAAGTAGACTGCCAGGCCTTTCTTCCCCGGAGCCTGTGGGTGAATGAGAACCTGCAGCCTTTCAGTTGGCGCATTAACCGTTTGCACCACCCAGGGACTCCACGTGCCATGCACACCCACCACCCACCGCGGCAGGCGTTGGGCCCTCCCCGTTTCACAGGTGAGGAGGTGGAGGCTTCGACAGGTGCATCCCAGGGCTGGGGAGCACAGGGCCGTTTCAGAGTCCAGCAGTACAGTGCCAGGGCTACTTCCTGGCCACTAACTGGGCCAAGCCTGGGTCCCAGCCTCTCTGTTCCTGCAGGGGGGCCGGCTCAGGGCACGCTGCTCTGGCCCAGCTGTCCCCTCCTACCGGACCCAGGTGGGACGGTATAGCGGAAGCCCTGCTGCCACCTGGAGGCCCCAGGCAGCTCTGGCCGTGGCGTTCAGATAGGGTGGGTAGGGTCTTTGTTCCTCTGGGGGCTGTCTTTGCACACCCTCCCTCACTGGCTCACATCACTTGACTTGTGCAGGTGCTGGGTCTGAATGCTGTCGCGGCTCTCTGGGATCCTCTATAAATGCACGCTAGAGGGAAGAAATGTTTCATCTTCCAGGGACGCCTCCAGCCCCAAGATCCATTTCTCTTCAGTAAGATGCTCCCGGGGAGTAGGGCCCTCGGCCTCTGACAGGGAGGCCAACCTTCCTCCAGGTATGGCCCACGGCTCTTCCAGGTCCATCCTGGGTGCCGCTACCTGTTACTTCTGGCTTCCTGGAAGCCTCCACCTGTCTCTGCCGGCCCTATTTCCTGTCTGGGACCCTAGCTGGCAGAGGTCTGAGACCCACCTGGACAGCCCCTTCTTTTCTGTATGTGAACAGAAACACCTGGCCAACCTGGCTAGTTTGTCTTCTGCAGCGGAGACTTCCGTCCTCCTCCCGGCGGATTCCGGAGCGCTTGCGGGTGCAAAGCAAAGTCACACGGTGCTCAGTCCACCGGAGCTCCCCCCAAAAATGTCTTGTCAACTTGTCTAGGTCATGATTCCCAGTATTGTATGACTGCGTTGTAAATGCTAACACTATGATGTAACAAAATGGACTAGGGGCAGTTATATTGATGAGATCTACAAGATTAGATTGTGTCTTAAGCCAATTTCTTTTGAGATACAAGAGAGAAGCGAGCAGAGAGACATGGGGACCTCATACCACCAAGAAAGCAGTGCCGGGAGCACAGTGCGTCCTTTGCACCAGAGGTTCCCGCGCTGAGGTGCTCCCAGACCAAGGGAAGACTGATGCATGACAAGGACCTTCCTCCAGAGCCGGCAGAGAGAGAAAGCCTTCCCCTGGAGCTGATGCCCTGAATTTGGACTTGTAGACTACTGGACTGTGAGAGAATAAACTTCTCTTTGTTAAATCCATTCACTTGTGGTATTTCTGTTAGAGCAGCACTAGATGACTAAGACAGGATCCGACGTGAGAAGTGGAGCTCTGGTGGCGCAGGGGTTAAGAGCTCGGCTGCTAACCAAAAGGTCTGCAGTTCAAATATACCAGCCGCTCCTTGGAAACCCTATGGGGCAGCTCTACTCTGCCCTATAGGGTTGCTATGAGTCAGAATTGACTCGATGGCATTGGGTTTAATGTGAGAAGCAGGGGAAAAGAACCTTCTAGAAAAGGCATCTGACACACTGCCAGCTCCACTCAAATCTTGTGGCGCTAAGACATGCTGCGGCCACAGTGGTCCCTCCACTCTCTCTCCACAGCCAGCACCCACCATCAGCAGCCTCGCCTTCGGAGAATGGCCCCCTGCTTATAGTCAGGCACACGTGCACAATACCACCCAGTGTGTGCAGGCCGGGGCCGGCGACATACAGCCTGGCACAGAAACCAGTAAGAACCAGCTGCCGTCGAGTTGGCTCTGACTCCTGGTGACCCCATGTGTGTCAGAGTAGAACTGTGCTCCATAGAGTTTTCAGTGGCTGAGTTTTTGGAAGTAGATCGCCAGGCCTTTCTTCTGAGGTGCCTCTGAGTGGACTCGAACCTTGGACCTTTTGGTTAGAAGCCGGTTGTGTTAACTGTTGCACCACCCAGGGACTCCAGGAGCCACAGGGCTTTTTCCATGTCTCTGAAGCCTAAGGGGAGCCGTCCGTTTCATCACTGCCCCACTTGCTCACTGCCGAGCACCCCGGTATCCCAGGCCCTCGCCCAGTGCTCAGGGATGCCGTCATCATTTCCTTGCCCTGGAGGACAGGCATCACTGCTCCTGTTTGCAGATGGAACAACTGGGCCTCGGAGAGGTTAAGAAGCTTGTCTGGGGTTCCTTGGAGGGCCAACAGCCAACTCTTGGCTGCACCCCCCTTTCCAGCCATAAGCCAGCATGGCTTGTGACCCCAGAATTCATCAATGCAAGTCCATGGAGAAACAGGTCATGGTCAAGAATATCCTTTGGTCCCACTGTGCCAAAGCCATGTGTGTGATCTCTCTGCTTGCGGAGGGACCCCGCAGTGAGACCCGCCCACTGTGTGTGTAGGGGTGGCCCCAGCTCTCCTCCTGCCTCTCCCGGCCCTGCCCTCCTGACCTGGTGCAGGGCTGGGGCACGAGGGAGCAGGGTGGCCACTCGCCTCCTCTGGGCCAGCACCCCTGTAGCACCACTGGCCTGGGCCCTTACCGTTGGTGTAGGGGTTCACTGTCTTCTTGTTGGTCATGACACGGGCCGTGGCATTATTGACCTGCCCAGAGAGAGAGAGGGTAACGGCAGCATTAGCCTCCTTCCCTGCTCTGCTGCTGCCCCTCCAGTGGCCACCGTGGAGGGTGGAACGTTCCAGAAAGGCCTCTGCCGCCCAGCCTGACCCACCCAGCCTGGCCTGCCCTCTCCCCGCTGTGTGCCCTCCCTCCAGGCAGCCTTGGCTGCCGATGCCCAGCCTGGCCCAGGACCCCCTCAGCTGAAGGCACTGTGTCCAACCCCGCTGGTCCTGCTGTCACTGTCCCCAGAACGCAGCCCCAGCCACTCCCCGGACCCGAGACTATGGAGGAGCTGGCTGGCGGACGCTCCCAAGTACTCTCAGTCCAGCTAACAGGCTGCCCCCAGGAGCTGGCTCTCCCCTCCTGGGCAGGGCACAGAGAGGGCCGCCCCTCCTGTGGGAGGCACCCCTTCCCCCAGAGGCAAGAGGCTATGCACCACAGGGAGTGTCCAGTGGGGCCAGCTGGGGGGTGGCTCTGGGCAGGCAGGCCCCAAGGGGACACTGTAGGGGGACTCTCCTTTTCAGACATCTGGCTGAGGCCAGACAGATTCCGAAGGGACAGGGGAGGTCTCCGAGGAGGGGCGTAGAGAACAGGGCAGGTGGAAGGGACTGGAGGACAAGTCTGGGCCTAATTGCCTCTCCCACGTCCAGGCCTGTCCCACGGGGCCCTGGGCCTCAGCCTCAGGTGCCCATCTGGTGCTAGGCCAGATCCCGGGCCCAGGTCGGGGCCTTCAGCACTCCTTCCGCTTCTGGGAGCCCCTCTGCAGGCCCTTCCACCGTTTGCTCAGTTGCCCCGTGGCCTCTGCTTTAGCTGCTGACTCCCTCCTCCCCTCCAGCCACCCCCACTGCCCTGTCCTGGCAGAACCCAGAGCTGGTGCTGGGGGATGGGAGTGCAGAGCCCACAGGCTCTTTAGGCCTTGGGTCTTCAGGGAGGGCTAGGGAGGGGCAGGAAGGAGGTCCGCTCTATCCCCGGGCGATTTGCTGCGGCTGCCCCTGCTTCTACCCAACCGAGGATAGAGTGGGGGTGAGGGGATCAGGGCAAACTCAGGCCGCTGGGCCGTGTGGGGACGAGAGGGCGGGGGTGGCTGGCTAAGAGGCTGGTCCCTGAGGTTGGCAAACCCAAGCCCTTGATTTCTGGCTCCTCCCTGTGCAAGGCAGACCCCTAGAGCAGGGGTGCGGGGACAGGCACACACACCCTCATCCTATCCCCTCCTACCCTCTTGTGGGGGCCTGCGTCTTTGGCCGTCAAGGGGAGGCTGGGAAGGGAGAGACCTCAGGTGAGTCTGATCTGGTCCCAATATGGCGGCAGGTGAGGGGCTGGCCAAGAGCCAGGACGTGGGGTGGGCTCTGGCCTGGTTCCACCCTTCCCTGTTCCCTCGTGCCCCTTCCTGCCAAGGGGACCGGCCCAGCTCTGCGGGGCGGGGATGGCATGTGGGGTGTCCCTGCCGCATGACACTTATCTGAGCACCTCAATTTTCCGTCCCTCTACGATGGTCCCATTCAGCTTCTCCCGGGCTCGGTCAGCATCTGAGCTAGTTTCAAAAGTTACAAACCCAAAGCCCTGTGAGCGGGGAGAGGGACAGACACGGAGAGAAAGACAAAGGATGAGGAAAGGCGAAAAAGGAGGTGTGGCGGGGGCACAGGAAGGGGGACAGAGGGGCGGGGGGAGAGAGGGCCGAGTCAGGCCAGCTGGAGGAGGGACTGGGGAGCCCAAAGGTCGGTCTGGCACCACGGCCTGATGCAGGGGGACGGCCTGCCTCAGCGGAGCAGGCCGCTGGCCCCTCCAGGGGACAGCAAAAACTACAAGAGTCCCTAACCTAGCCACCAGGCCTTTGTGGGGGCCCAGGCTGGGGTTCAGGAACCCCAGGGAGACAGGCAGCCCTACCAGACCTTCACCCCAGGAGCCGGGGGAAGCCGGCTTTGTCTGAGCCGGACCCCCTCCTGGCCGCCCACCCAGGCCCACGAGTGCCCCGCAGCCCCTCCCCCCGGCTCCCAGGCTGACTCCAGGGGCCGCCACAGCCCCAGGCTGAGCGGGCGGGTGGGTTGGTGGGTGGGAACCCAGGCCGCCCAGGGCTCCAGGGAGCAGGCAGAGGTCCTAGAGGCTCAGAGAGAAAGCAGCGCAGCGGCAGCAACACAGACAGCTGGGGAGGGGGTGGGAAGCAGGGAATACAAGCACCCGTGTCGCCAGGGGTCCTCGGGCCGAAGCTCCAGGAAGGAAACGCACATTTCACAGTTAGCCGGGCGGGGCCTACAGCCGGCGCGGTAACGGTGCGGCCTCTCACGGCACCCACCTTGGAGCCCCGCTCGTTAAAAATGATCTCCACGTCTAAAATTTTTCCAAATTGCTGCGGAGACAGAGAGAGGGCGGGAGACAGAGCAGGGGGGTAAGACTCTGGCCCGTATGCCGTTACCCTTTCTGGGGCACCCACATTGTACCCACCCAGCCCGGCGCGCAGAAGAACACGGGGTCCGAAGGGGCTGGGAACTGAGTGGCCCAGGACACCCGCCTCTTCCCACCCTCCACGGCCATCCTCGAGCCAGGTGGGGGCAGGGGGCTCTCGGTGTGGCATGGGGTGTCGGTCGGGGGGTGGCCAACCCTCCCCACGCTCATGGGGGAGCCTGTCCTGCCGGGACAGGGCCCATCTACCGGCGGCGGTGGGGGTGAGGATGGCGAGGGCCCCATGTCACCAGGGCCCCCTCCTCTCTCTCTGCTGGGACTCTGCCATAGGCAGCTGATGGGAATCCCGAGACAGGACAGCCACCCTCATTTCACACTGAAGGGTGACATTCCACAGTCCTCCCCAAAGGAGGTCAGGATCTGGGAAAGGGAGAGCAGGAGGGGGAGCGGGAGTAGAGGGAGGGGAGGACAGGGAAGGACTACAGAGGAAGGGAAGGGGAAAGGGGAAGGCAGGGAGGGGTCCAGGGGGAGGTCCTGTGCACTGAGCTCCGGGACCCGCACTGCCTGGACAGTTTGGGGCTGGGCTGTGTGGATGCAGGTGGCAGTGACCTGGCCCCAGGGCCCCTGCCGTCTGGGGACCTGCCCAGCCAGCCTGGCCAGCATGCTGCGCACCCACACCTGTACACCAGCCCGGCCACTTCGTGTGAGGCCTCGCTCCGCTAACTGACAGGGGCCCCTCGTCCTGTCGTGCCCGGGAGGCAGGTGTGTGAGGGGGCAGCGGGGGCAGCGCCCGCCAGAGCTCGGCCCCACCTCTGGTGCTTACTGAGCAGAGGGGGGCAGGTCTGCCCCCCTGCCGAGGGACTGGACTCGAGAACGCATGTCTGGGGCCCAGACTAGCGGGCCCCCGATGCCAGCTGCTGGAAAGCCCGCACCGGGAGAGGGCTCCTGTCTTCACTACACGTGACTCCATCTCCAGCCAGTCCCCTGGCCAGGTGGTCTAAGCCCCAAATCCAAGGGGGCCTGGCCCCCAGGAGGGGGTGGATGCCTGGGGCAAGGCTCAGGGGTGCAGGTTTGGGGGCTCATCCACCTGGATGCCACGTCCCATTTGCCTGACAAATCCCAGCAGGGGCAGTGAGGGCAGGCCTTGGAGCCGGAGCCGCCAGCGTGTGGGCAGAGGTGGTGGCTGCACAGGCCAGCAGGCGGGAGGGGGCTCTGGGGAGTGTCCTCGGTGGCCAGGACAGCCTTGGGAGCTCTGTGGCCCCACCAGGTACCTGGGCGGAGCCCTTGGCCACTGCTCCCTCTCCAGAACTCGGCACCCAGTCGGGGTCAGCACCGCAGGGGACTGAAGTCAGGGCCCACAGTCCTGACATTCGGTCAAAACCTAGGGACCTTGGGGAACGCAGGCAGGGAACCCGCCTCGCGCTTGTGCCCCTTCACTGCAGCTTTTGGTGCTGGCTCCCCCACCTCGGGGGCTGGAGGGCCCCGGAGGGAGACTGATTGCTGACCCCAGCACCCAAGAGAGGAGGGGACGGCTGCAGCTCTGGGGGAGTCCAGGAGGCTGGGGAGCCCCTGAGAGGGACACAGGGGATCCCTGGAGTCTTTGTCAGAAAATGAGACCAGGAATAACCCAACTCGTCCTGGCTATGAAGCCCCTGTGAGCAGGTGGTGTGGGCGCAGGGAGCAGGGTGGGTGGGTGCTGAAGGGAGGCCGAGGCTGGCCAGTTCACCCTGAGCTAGAATCCTCCGTTCCATCTCCCCTAGGTCCAGGCCAGAGCCCCGGGTCAGGGGGGCAGTGCTCTGGGGCCCTACCTGCCCAGTGGGGGCAGGGAGCCTGGGTGGACAGAGAGGCGGACCCCCTGGGTGCTACACTGGGCTGGGACTCAAGCATGGCCGGCATACACACTCACCCCGAACATTTGCCGCAGGTCGGGGTCCCTGAACCGGAAGGGGATGTTGGAGACGTGTAGCCGCTTGGGCTGCTGCTTCTCTGTGGGGTCGGAGGGGTGCAGCGTCTGGCTGTCTGTCTGCGCCGCCTCATCTGTCTGCTGCGGGAGAGGACCCGAGGCTGTGAGGTGCTGGGGTAGGGGGCGGGCTCCAATCCCCCTCCGGTTCTCCAGGCCCTGCCCCCTCTCTGCCATGGGGGAGGGCTAAAACCAGTTCTCCCCAGGCCCCTGGACCCTCCCGTCACTTAGCCTGGATCCCATGGGACCGCGGAGGAGTTTCCAGGAGACAGGGCTTGGTGGCCCCTCGGTTTCCCAGGTGCCCCCCTCCAGGCCTCCACCCAGGCGGTGCCAGAAGCCACATGCCCGGCCTCTGGGGCCCAGCGTGTCCTCCGCTCGGCCCCCAGAGTCCAGCCCCCAGGGCCTCATCTCCACTTGAGTGCCCTCGTTCTCCTTGCCTTGACAGGCTGTATGGTCCAGGAGAGTGGGGACAGTTTCTGGCTTCCATGAACTAATGGTAAGTTGGAGAGAGGTTTCAGAACCTGCCCCGGAAGGGTGCGGCCCCTCCTGGCGGTCACTCCGGGCTCCGCTCACTCTGGCGGCCTTCGGGAACCTCTTCCGAGGCTGCTCCAGTCACGCCTTGCTCTGGACCACACACTGGCCAGCAGACAATCTGCAGGACTCGTGTCTGAAAACACGCCTGTCCGCCAAGCCAGGAGCCGCCTGCCGTAGCTCCCGCGAGGACCCGTGGTGTGGCGTGCTGGCAGGCCGCTCGCCGGTGGGTGTGTGTGTGGGCTTCTGCAGAGAACGTGCCAGAAGCTCACCACAACCCTGGCCTCCGCTTGGCTCGGGCTGGCTGAATCCTAGGCCAGGAGGAGACCCGGTGTGGGGAACCACTGTCCCCTCGTTGGCTGAGAAGCACCGTGACCCTGCTCTCGGCGGCTCGGCTGTCTCAGGCTTGTCTGGCCCAGTTCTGACCGGTGTGTGCTCTCTGCTGGCAGCCGAGAGTGCGTGTGCCCAGGGAAGTGGCTGCGGGTGGACCTAGCACCCTGAAGCGGGGTGAGAGGCTGTGGCTCTGGCAGGACCATAAGCCCTTAGGGTCTGGCCAGCTGGGAGT